AGGATGAAAATGAGGAAAGAAGAGTTGATAAAATGGTAAAAGAATACCAAACTGTCTTATTTAGAAAAAACAATAAAGTTTTAGATTTAAAGTTGAATGAAGCATTAATTTCTTTTGCTAAAGTATCAGAAGAAGAAAAAAAAGTTGCCAAAGAAATTACTGAGTTAGAAAAAAAATATAATCCTCAAGTTCTTCAAGAACAAACTGATTTAGAAAATAAGATTGATATCATTGTCACCAAATTGATAGACGATCTAAAGCCTGGTAACATTGGTTATAAGTTTTTGGAACATATATTCAATTGTAATAGAAATTATTCAAAAGTTATGTATAGCACTGTTGTACGAACTGATACTGCTTATGGATCAATTACCTATACTGGTTATAATGGGAATAGTAAGCCTTATACTCATACAATTTATCTAACAGATGATTTACCAGGTCAAATTTGAACTATTCTCAAAGATATTGATAAAGATAAACTTTTTGAATATGTTTCTTCTTCTGAATGTTCATGGAACAATGATGATAAGAAAAAATTTAAAGGTGCTTTTGAGAGAGTTATAAACTGAAATGTTGAATTTAGAAATAATCTTAATAAGCAAATTATTAGTTATTTAAATGTTAAAAAAAAAGAAGAAAACGGAGGTAGTAAAAATAAAGTGTTTATTAGTGATCTTTTTTATGTCATGCATACCCTCTTTCCCAAAGATAGTAATTACTCAGATAGTCCTTTCATAAAAAAAGGACAAAAGAGTTGTTTGCATTTTAATGATACAGAAAAGAGCATTGATACTTCTTATAGGATGTTTTGACGAGGAGCAGATGCCAGCATTATTGGGACAAGGTATGCTGATGTTAGTGCAAATATTCTTAAAGCTCCTTTTGATGTTGAAGAAAAACATTTAACTTGGGCGAATGGTCAAATTCCCGAATTCTTTTGACAAGTTTATAATAATGATGATGCTAAAAATTGGAGTGCTTATTGAGAAGTAGTTGCCAAAGATTTAGTTGGAAGAGAAAAAATTAGGGGGGAAAAAATAACTGTTTATGAGAAGAAGTTACTTTCTGAAGACACAACCTCAATTATTTCTCCTTTTACCCGTGGTACACATAGGGGATTAGGTTTTCTATATGCTAATAATTATAGAGAACATGTTAAGAATTTAGTCATAAAACAAAAAGACCCAACAGGAGATCCTTTAATTAATGTGGACGAATTTAGAAAAGAGTGAGAAAGTATTGCTGATAAAATAATGCATAGAGTCATGGGATCCCTTGCTAAGTTCAGAGCTGATGCAAAAGGATTGACTTTTGAGCAATTAGAGGCTAGAAAGACTGAATTTGATACTACTCAAATTAAGTCAATAGTTCTAAGATCTAGTGATGAAAATGTTACTGATGAAATAGCCAATATGTGAAATGAATGAAAAACTATTACGGCTGATAAACGAGTAGGTTTAGAAAGCATTCATGCAGAATTAGGAAAAAAAAGGAGTGAATTAACTAAAATTAGTCTTCAAAAAGCTGATAAAAAACAAAAACTGATCCAAATCCAAAATCAAATTAAGGATTTTGAAACTAATCAAATTAATCACTTACGAACTCAACTTAAAAATTTAGGAGATAAATTAACTAATCCGAGTGATGAAAATATTATCACTTATCAAGAAGCGATTGTGATTAGAACTTTGATTTACTTCTTAACCGATTTAGAAAAGGAGGGCAAATTAGAAACTCCCCTTACGGCTACTGAAAAAGGATATTTAACTAAAGTAGAACAATTAGAGACTGTTCGCAATGCTAAACTTCCTACTTATAGCACTTGACGAGGTTTAGGTGCTAGTTTTCAAGAAAGACTAAATAATTGAGAAAAAAAAGAAGGAAGAAACTTAACCAGAAAAAGCATTACAACTTATTTTAATTTACTAAAAAGTGAGTTAAATAATGCTCAACAACCATTGGGTCTTAGTTCAGAAGAAGAAACCGAATTATTGGCAATTACTAATTACTTAACTAATCCAGAATTAAGAAGTGAAAATCTTCGTTCAGTTTTCAATATTGATTGTGATGTTGCTCCTTCTTTAGTAGAACAATGAAAAAATTACGGGGATAAAAAACTCTTTAGAAAAGATGAATTAGAACTAAAAAAGATTGGAGATATCGTGAATAATTTGGATGATATTGAGCCTTTCTTTACTCATCTCAAAGATTATTTGAATTTCCTGCTGACACGACTGCCGAACAAGATAAATTAAACTGATTCTTTACTTTACCTCCTCAACATGTAATTGGAGCAGCCGC